CCCCCCCCCCTCCAATTCCCCGCCACCAAACGAAACAAAACAAAACCAAAAAATAATAAATACTCGTGTGGACTGTACAAGGTACTTTTTTTTTTTCGTTTTGTATCCGCATCAGTAGCCTCCGCCCCCTACACGGGACGGGGAAGCACAGAGGGGGGAGGGGCGCTAGAGGCAAAGAAACAAGAAGAAACAAACAAACAACAACGGCAGAGAGAAAACAATAACCACAACGATGAGTGGGCGGAATAGACCGTGAGAGGAGCTGCTCCGATGAGGGTGAAACGACGAGTTGCAACGCGTTCGATCCCTCGTTGATGCTCTTCAGCGCCGCCTTTGCACTACCGACGCATTAAAGAAGTATATATATATATATATATATTTCCGTTAAAGTACTTTTGTAGCATTTAGATCTTGTTTTATTTTTATTTTTTGATGCTGTTTCTCCCCGCTGCTTGTTTTTAGAGTTTTTTTTGTTTTATATTGTTCTGTTCCTGTTTATGACTGTACTGCACGCAACGAGAGAAGGCGACAACAATCGAAAACGAAACAACAACGAAAAGTGAGAGGGTGGTGGTGGTGGGGAGGATGACGAGGGCAGAACACAACCCCCGAGTAACACCCCCTCCGCTGAGTTATATGAACCCCACACGCCCCTCCAACTCCGCATCGGCCTGTCCCTGCTACATTAGCAGGGAGGTTTTTTGTGTGTTAGTTTGTTTTGTTCTCCTTTCGATTCGCTACTTCTTCTCCCTATTGCGTTCTTCCCGCTCGCTGTACTGTTGTATGCACGCCTCACTGCCGTCTGGCGAGATTGAATGTGCGTCCTGCCCTGCCCGTTGCCACACTTCAATTCAACCTTCATCCATTCTGCCGCTGATGCTCTTTTTTTCCCCCTCTTTCCTTTTCTTTCTCTGTGTGTGTTTGTTGCTGCTGTTGCTGCCCCACTGCGCCACTGGGTTGTAGACGGAGCAGAAGGAAGCCAAGCCGCGTTCTTTCGTTTGCACACGGACACACCCACACACTCACACCAAGAGACTTACTAGGCACTGACTGTGTGTGAAGCATGAAGGTGAAGACCCAAGATTGCATCCAATTCCCAGAGGACGTCGACGTCTCTGTGAAGCACCGCGTCGTCACCGTCAAGGGGAAGCGCGGGACGCTCACCAAGGACCTGCGCCACCTGCAGCTCGACTTCCGCGTCAACAAGAAGTCCCGCACGTTCACCGCCGTTCGCTGGTTCGGCAACAAGATCAACAACTCCACCATCAACACGGCACTCTCGCATGTGCGCAACATGATCACGGGTGTGACCAAGGGCTTCCGCTTTAAGGTCCGCTTTGCCTACGCGCACTTTCCCATCTCCGTCTCTGTGGAGAACCAGCTTGTGGAGATCCGTAACTTCCTTGGCGAGAAGCGCGTGCGCCGCCAGGTCATCCCAGATGATGTGAAGGTGTACCGCACTGACGCCGCTGTGGTGAAGGACGAGCTCGTGCTGGAGGGCAACGACCTCGAGAAGGTCTCGCGCGAGGCTGCCGTGATGCACCAGCTGTGCCTGGTGAAGAAGAAGGATATCCGTAAGTTCCTGGACGGTATCTACGTGCAGACGAAGACCAACGTGGTGGTGGTGGAGTAAGAGGGGGCAGCTGCCGCAGTGTGTCGTGGGTTTAGGCTCGTTCTTCCGACTTTGTCGATTCTGTTTCTTTTTGATTCACTCGTTTTCGTTTTTCGAGACAACACACAACAACAAGGAAAAACTCCTGTTTTTCTTTCTGCGTCTTGTCTGCCGCGGCTCCTCGGCCCTCTCTCTCCAGAGGGCCGCTGCTGCGGGAGAATCCCACGTGTCTGCCGTCTACCACTTCTTTCTTTGTTCTATCATCTTTTTCTCCCTTTTATTCCCACCGCCGCTGCTGCTGTTGCTGTGGCAACAGACGGGGAATCCATCTCTTTGTTAGAGGGAAGCCATGACGAAGACGAACGGACAACACGCAGCGCGTAAGCTCGTCCGCCTGCGCCGCAAGAACCGCTGGGCGGACAAGGGCTGGAAGAAGTCGCACACCTTCGTGGCGCAGAAGGCCAACCCCTTCGGTGGGTCCTCGCACGCCAAGGGCATCGTGCTGGAGAAGATCGGTGTTGGTGCGAAGCAGCCTAACTCCGCCATTCGTAAGTGCGTGCGTGTGCAGCTGATCAAGAACGACAAGAAGATTATTGCCTTCGTCCCGAACGACGGTTGCCTGCACTTCGTTGAGGAGAACGACGAGGTGCTGGTGTCTGGCTTCGGCCGTTCCGGCCACGCCGTCGGTGATATTCCCGGGGTCCGTTTCAAGATCGTGAAGGTGTCCAGCGTCGGCCTCTACGCCCTCTACCGCCAGAAGAAGGAGAAGCCCCGCAACTAGTGTGGGCGGAAGCGCCAAGCCATGCGAGATGTGGTCGCCCCCAACAGGTTTCGTTGTTTCTTTCGGAAGTGTTTTTATTTTGATGTCTTGACGTGCAATCCCCCTCTAATGCTGCATGATGCCACAGAAACACACACCGACATGTGCATGCTTTCCTACTCTGTCTCACTCTCCCTTTCTTTCTTCCCTGCTGCGCTGTTTTTGTTTTTGTTTTGTTTTATTGTCGCATTTCTGCGTGGGCGATCCGCTCCTTATGCGCACAAAGGATAAGAAGCAAAGAGCCACTCCATCGGCAAACGTTGGTGTGCGTGAGTCTGTGTGCGAGGGAAATACCATTCTTCTTGGATAAAATACAAGCGGATTTTCTAATTACTCTTGCACCTGCCACTCAGACCGGAGGACGCAAAGACCGCGCGTAACATCATCCCCCCCTGTGAGAGTGTGCGTGTGTGTGTTTTGCGCGTAACAACAACAAAAAGAGGTATTCTTAGCCGCAGCAGCAGCAGCCAGACGGGGTTGAAAGGGAGGAGCCATGGGAAGTCGCTACGAACGGCAGGAAAAGATCGGCGAGGGGACGTACGGCGTGGTGTACAGGGCCCGCGACACCACCACCGGTGCGATCGTTGCTCTCAAACGCATTCGTCTCGACTCGGAGGAGGAGGGTGTGCCGTGCACTGCCATCCGCGAGATATCGCTGCTGAAGGAGCTTCACCATGACAGTATTGTGAAGCTGCTCGACGTGTGTCACAGCGAGAATCGCCTCACCCTCGTTTTCGAGTACATGGAGCTGGACCTTAAGAAGTACATTGATCGTGAGGGCGGCAACCTCGACGCAGCCACCATTCAAAGCTTCATGCACACCTTGCTCAAGGGGGTGTGCTTCTGCCACGAGCGTAACGTGCTGCACCGCGACTTGAAGCCGCCGAACCTCCTTATCTCGCGAGAGAAGGAACTGAAACTCGCGGACTTCGGCCTTGGGCGCGCGTTCGGCATCCCTGTGAAGAAGTTCACACACGAGGTGGTGACGCTGTGGTACCGCTCGCCTGATGTGCTGCTCGGCTCCACCCAGTATGGCACGCCGGTGGACATCTGGTCCGTCGGCTGCATCTTTGCCGAGATGGCCATCGGCGCCCCGCTCTTCGCGGGGAAGAATGACGCAGATCAACTGCTGCGTATCTTCCAGTTCCTCGGCACGCCGAACAACCAGGTGTGGCCCTCGATGAACCAGTACCCGAACTCCACAAACATGCTGTCAAAGCCGGAGTTCCTGCAGAACCTCGTGGCGGAGTGCGACGTGCAGTTCCAGACGTTGCCAGCATACGCCAAACTTGGCCCGCAGGGCATTGATCTCCTGCGCCGCCTGCTGAAGTACGAGCCTGCCGAGCGGCTGACGGCGGCGCAGGCGCTGGAGCACCCATACTTCTCCGTCGTGTTCTAAGCGCGGGAGCCTGGGCGAGAGAATGTGAAGGAAACAAAAGGGAAGGGGAGAGAGTGTACGTGTGTGTGTGAGAGAGAGAGAGAGAGAGAGAGAGAGAAAGAGAGACGAACAGAGCGGAAGAGAACGGCTGAGCGGAGAGAGGGGAGAGGTGTGGAGAATGTGGGAAACAATGATGGAAAGAGAGATTTGATGTGTGCACATCATCGATATTCTGCACTTGTCCTGTTTTGTGTGTTGGTTGTTGTCGTTAAACTACTGTGTGTGTGTGTGTGTGTGTGTACACGTCTCTCGCGCTCTCCATGCCCCGTTTTATACAGAATATAGGGAGGCGTGTGGCGCGCCGAGATGACGTGACTGTTCAATTCGTTCTTTTTCTCTTTTTGTTGTTGCTTCGTTGACCATTACTTCCTTTATCTTCCTGTCCCTGTCTCTCTCTCTCTCTCTCTCACACACACACTCTCTTTGGTCTTCTTTTTGCTGCTTGACCGGCATTTACTTCGGGTTCCCTTGCACACCCACACACAAACACACACGCGAGGGAGCAGAGAGAGAGAGAGAGAGAGAGCGGGAAGGAGTGGGGGTGGGTGTGCGAAGGAGGGAGGGGTGTCTGCGCTGTGTGTGTGTGTGTGTGTCGGTCCATCCATCTATCCGCCTCTCTGCCTGTCTATCATTTTTTTTTTTCGTTTTGTGTGTGTGAAGCAGCAAGGAAGAAAACAGCGGAACGACACACGAGGTCAAACACAACTCACAGACATACAACATCGAAGATTTAATTAAGCGAAGAGAAGGACAAGCAAGATGGAGGCAAAGAGGAAGAACGAAAACAAGAAGGACACCAACACGCAGACGGATGTTCGCATCAGCAACATCACCTCCGCTAAGGCGGTGGCGGACTGCGTGCGCACTTCCCTCGGCCCACGCGGCATGGACAAGATGATCATTGAGCCACGCGGTGAGGTGGTCATCAGCAACGACGGCGCCACCATTCTGTCGAAGCTGCAGGTGACGCACCCGTGCGCTAAGATGCTTGTGGAGCTCTCCAAGGCGCAGGACGTGGAGGCGGGCGACGGCACGACAAGCGTCGTGGTGCTCTGCGGCGCCTTCCTGCGCGCGGTGGAGGAGCTGCTGCTGAAGGGCATCCACCCCACGCAGATCTCGGAGTGCTTCAATGAGTGCGCTAAGGTGGCGGAGCGCATCCTCGAGGACATGAGCATCAAGATTCAGATCGAGGACCGCGAGACGCTCATCAAGGCGGCCATCACCTCCCTTAACTCTAAGGTAATCTCGCAGAACAGCGACCTGCTAGCCCCGATGGCGGTGGATGCCGTGCGGCGGATCATGCGTGACAACGGCGATGTTGACTTGCGCGATGTGCGCATCGTCACGGCGCTGGGCGGCACCGTAGACGACTCGGTGCTGCTCACGAACGGCATGGTCTTCAAGCAGAAGGCATCGCATGTAGCGGGGGGGCCGGTGCGCATTGCTAACGCGAAGATAGCTCTCATCCAGTTCCAGCTCTCTCCCCCGAAGACAGACATGGAGAGCACTGTGACGATCACAGACTACAGCCAAATGGACCGCGCGCTGAAGGAGGAGCGCAAGTATCTGCTGAATCTCTGTAAGAAGATCAAGGACGCGGGCGTGAATGTACTGCTGGTTCAGAAGTCCATCCTCCGCGACGCCGTGACCGTGCAGAGTCTCGATTTCCTTGCCAAGATGAAGATCATGGTGGTGAAGGACATCGAGCGCAACGACATTGACTTCATCACCAAGACGCTCGGGTGTCTCCCCGTGGCGAACATAGACAACCTGAAGCCGGAGAAGTTTGGCCACGCCGACCTCGTCATGGAGGAGAACACGCCAAACGGCAAGATTATCCGCATCACTGGGGTGCAGACGCCGACGGAGTCGATCAGCCGCCAGCTCTTTGGCAAGACTGTTACCTTCTTCCTCCGTGGGAGCAACAGCATGATGCTGGAGGAGGCGGAGCGTGCCCTCCACGACTCGCTGTGCGTGATCCGCTCAATTGTAAAGAAGCGCGCCATCATGCCGGGTGGTGCGGCCGGCGAGACGGAAGTGTGCCTGCAGCTCGGCAAGTACGCGCGCGAGCGGGCGCAGGGCACTCAGACGTTCTGCATGCGCGCGTTTGCGGATGCCTTTGAGGTGATTCCCTACACCCTTGCGGAGAACGCGGGTCTGCAGCCCATCTCCATTGTGACGGAGCTCCGCAACGCGCACGCCAGCGGTAACAAGAACGCGGGCGTCAATGTGCGGAAGGGCTGCGTGACGGACATGGTGGAGGAGAATGTGGTGCAGCCGCTGCTTGTGTCCACCTCGGCGGTGCGACTGGCGGCGGAGTGCGTGATGATGATCCTGAAGATCGACGACATCATCATGACCCGCGCGTAAAAAAAAAAAAGATTTTTTTCTTTGGTTTTCGGTGTGTGTGCGTGGGTGCGTGTCTGCACATCTGTGCGTGTTTCTGTGTGTGTGTGGCTGTGAAGATTAGAGGCAAGCGGTAAATAAGACGGTGTGCCCGCGAGCTGCGAGGCGGCGGGCACTAAAGCCCAAAGCCACGGCGACAACTCCACTACTTTCGAACGCTGCTCCTGCTGCTGCCGCCTTCTGCAGGTGGACGGCCCCATTCATGTAACAGTGGCTGGTGGTGGATTGCGCCTCTGGCTCTGGAAGAGAGAGAGAGAGAGAGAGAAAAAAAAACGGAAGGCCACACGGAGGCGCCACTCACTGCTCTGGCGCCGCTGGCACTACACACACAGCGACAGACGCACCGGGGTTGACAAACGCACACCACAAATACACCGAGAAGAGGAGAGGGTGAGGGACGGGGAAAAACAACAACAACAACAACGACACACAAACAAACCCAAAAAAAAAAACAAGAAACGAAACCAGAAGGAAAACAGAAGAAATGAATTATTCCCTAATTTCTCGCTTCGTGTGTGTCTGTGTGCGTATGAATTGGTGTGTGTGTGTGTGGGTGTTTGTTTCTGCATGTACGTATGTGTGTGTGTGTGGGTGTAGAGGCGCGCTCGCCGGGAGAGGGAGAGAGAGGGGCGGGGGGCGCACCGCCACACACCCGCCTGCTTGGCTGCGTCACCCGCGACGGTGACAGGGGCGCAGATGGAACGAAAACAACAGCGAAAGAAGACACACACACACACACATACACGAGAATACAAACAAAGCCAAACAAAATAAAACAAAGCAAAGAAGCAGAGGGACAAAAAAGAAAGAAAAAACACGGAACGGCACCCACGAGTGAAGGAAAACAAGGGCAACAACGCACACACCTGAGGGAATGCACACGCCCGCACATGCACACGCGGGGTGGAGTTAGTGGCCAGGCGTGTGCCCAAATAAAAATAAAAAAAAAA